TTAGTCATAATTTATATGGAAGCATCCTCAGGTAGTGTAGATTCAAGTTTGTACAAAATCATGACCCCCGGGTGGGGGGGGGGGGCACAATGGGGGATCAAAATTTTACATAGGAATTTATAGAAAAAAAATCTTTAAAAATCTTTCTCTCAAGAACAACAAAGCCACAATTAGTCATATTGATATGGAAGCATCCTCAGGTATTGTAGATTCAATTTTGTTCAAATCATGACCCCCAGGGGTTGGGTGGGGTCACAATGGGGGATCAAAGTTATACATCGAAATATATTGGAAAATATCTTTAAAAATCTTCTTCTCAAGAACAGCAAAGCCATGATTTGTTATATTGATATGGAAGCATCCTCAGGTATTGTAGATTCAATTTTGTTCAAATCATGACCCCGGGGGGTTGGGTGGGGTAACAATGGGGGATCAAAGTTTTACATAGAAATATATAGGAAAATATCTTTCAAAGTCTTCTTCTCAAGAACAGCAAAGCCATGATTTGTTATATTGATATGGAAGCATCCTCAGGTATTGTAGATTCAATTTTGTTCAAATCATGACCCCGGGGTTGGGTGGGGTCACAATGGGGGATCAAATTTTTCTATAGGAATATATAGGAAAAAACTTTAAAAATCTTCTTCTCAAGAACAGCAAAGCCATGATTTGTCATATTAATATGGAAGCATCCTCATATATTGTAGATTCAAGTTTCTTCAAATCATGACCCCTGGGGTTAGGGTGGGGCCACAATGGGGGATCAAAGTTTTACATAGGAATATATAGGGAAAAACTTTAAAAATCTTCTTCTCAAGAACAGCAAAGCCTTGTTTAGTCATATTGATATGGAAGCATCCTCAGATAGTGTAGATTTAAGTTTGTTCAAATCATGACCCCTCAGGTTAGGGTGGGGTCATAATGGGTGATCAAAGTTTTACATAGGAATATAAAGGAAAAAATCTTTGTCTCAAGAACAGCAAAGCCATGTTTAGTCAACATGGGGGGTCAAAGTTTTACATAGGCATATATAGGAACAAACTTTAAAAATCTTCTTCTCAAGAACAGAAAAATACTTGTTTAGTCATATTGATATGTAAGCATCCTTAGGTAGTATAGATAAAAAAAATTTTCAAATCATGACCCCTGGGGGTAGGGTGGGGCCACAATTGGGGATCAAAGTTTTACATAGAATATAGGAAAAAACTTTAAAAATCTTCTTCTTATGAACAGCAAAGCCATGTTTAGTCATATTGAAATGGAAACATTCTCAGGTATTGTAGATTCAAGTTTGTTCAAATCATGACCCCTGGGGGTAGGGTGGGGTCATAATGGGTGATCTAAGTTTTACATAGGAATATAAAGGAAAAAATCTTTGTCTCAAGAACAGCAAAGCCATGTTTAGTCATATTGATATGGAATCATCATCGGGTTGAGTAGATTAAATTTTGTTCCACTGATTACCTCTGGGGGCAGGGAGGGAACACAGTGGGGTATCAAATTTTTACAAAGGAATATATAGGAAAAAATCTTTAAAAATCTTCTACACAAGAACAGCAAAGCCATTTGTTATATTGATATGGAAGCATCCTCAGATAGTTTAAAATTCAAGCCCTGCCTCCCTCTCCCCCTCTTTTAAACTTTTCAATACTGAATTGATTTGTGCTTTTTCCTAGCCATTGTGTTCAGGTGAGCGATGTGGCCCATGGGCCTCTTGTTTAGCTCTTCTGAGCCAAAGGCTCAAAGAGCTAATGCTATGGCCATTTGTGCGATGTGTGGTGTGCGTAAACTTTTTAGATTATGGGCCATAACTCAAGAACCCCTTGGCCAACTATTGTCAAATTTGTCACAGGGTATCCTTTGTCCAAGGGCTCCCTTTTATACTAAAACTAGGGTTGTGACCCTTAAATGAGGGGAGATAATTAGGAAAATAGAAACAAAAGTACTGGTTGCTAAAAAATCTTCTTCTCAAGAACCACTGGGCAGATTATCACCAAACTTACACAAAAGGATGAGGATATGTTTTAGATTAAAAATTGTTCAAGGCATCACCCTGGGGCAAAGGGCGTGGTCTCAAGGTCACTTCAAAGTTGACCAAAAATTACATTTTATTAAAATGTTGATATTTTGCTTACTATAAGGACTAGGATCATCAAATCTTGTCAGTTGATGCATCTAAGGATCTCATATCATGTCGACTCAAAAGTAGGTCAGGGTGACCTACTTTTTAAATTTTGCAGCCATTCTTTTTCAAAATGATTTAGAGGCATATTTTGAACAATTTAAGGCCTATGATCATCAAACTTTGTCAGTTGATGTATCTTGGATCCTCAAAGTACGTCAACTAAAAAGTAGGTCACCTTACCTACTTTTTGAACTTGATGGCTAATCTTTTTCAAAACAATTAAGGTCATTAATTTGAATACTGAGAGGTTTAGAATCATTAAATCTTGTAAGATGATGCATCCTGGGGCCATAAAACATTTTTATTAAAAAGTAGGTCACAGTGACCTACTTTTTGAACTTTGCAGGCATTCGATTTCAAAGTGTTTTAGAGGCATAATTTGGACATTTTAAGGCCTATGATCATAAAACTTTGTAAGTTGATGCATCTTGGGTCATCGCAGTAGGTCGACTGAAAAGTAGGTCACCATGACCTACTTTTAATTTATATGACTTTAATTAAATATTTCAGGTACTAATTAGCTTAGAATCATCAAACTTTGTCAGTTGATGCATCTTGGGTCTTTGGAGTAGGTCGACTGAAAAGCAGGTCACCATGACCTACTTTTGAAAATTTATGGCTTTAATTAAATATTTCGGGTATTAATTGGCTTAGAATCATCAATCTTTGTCAGTTGATGCATCTTGGGTCCGCAGAGTTAGTCAACTGAAAAGGAGGTCACTGTGACCTATTTTGATGGCTTTATTTAAATATATCAGGTACTTATTGGTTTAGAATCATCAATCTTTGTCAGTTGATGCATCTTGGGTCCTCAAATTATGTCATCTGAAAAGTAGGTCACTGTGACCTACTTTTGAAATTTTATGGTTATAATTTAAAATGTAAGGTATTAATTAGCTTAGAATCATCAAACTTAGTTAATGCATCTTGGGTCTTCAGAGAATGACAAGTGATAAGTAATTCACCATGACCAACTCTCAGGTACTAATTGGCTTAGAATCATCTTGGGTTCTCAGAGTGTGAATTGGAATTTCAAGGGTTTATCTAAATATACAGGATACTTACAGGCTTCAAATAGAAATGATAGGTTGTACAGTTTATCAGAAGAGCGATTCAAGGCCCTTTGGCCTCTTGTTTTAAAGTATTTTATCCTACATATTTCGAATCCTTGGATATCTCTCAGTTTTTTCTCGGTCCCATTGAATTTGAGATAATGAGGTTTGACTGTATATGTACAGTAGTTGGCCATAATTTAGTTCCCAAAATGGCAGCTGATGTTTCCGTGAATGATATTTTGTCTCTTAGTTTCCTAGTACACATTGAAAAATCTTACCTTTCTGCATCCGGATTAAGACCAATATTGATTTTAGTTTTAAATTTATTTTCCTAATTCTATTTCCATTTTGTTTGTTGATAATTGTCTGCTAAAAAAATGGGTCGCCATGGAAAAGATTTGATACTGGAGGTGAGAAAAATCATTGTAAGTTTATCTGAGAAAGGCTTTTTTGGCCATAAAATCTCAAAAATCACTAGAGTTAATCCGAGGACTGTAAAAAATTTTAAAATGAGTGAAAGAAAGGGGAAATGAAGAAAACCTTTCAAGAACTGGCAGGCGGAGAAAAACTGACACTATAGAGCCAATCGTCTACTTTTTTGGATGGTACAGAACAACAAAAGGCAGACCTTGGAAGACCTCACAAAAAATTTTAACTGTTACAATAAATCTGATGAAAATATTTCTTCAAGGACTGTAAGAAGAAAATTGTTTGAAAATAATTATAAAAGATATGTTGTTTCTAAGAAAATCATGATAAGGAGTGAAAACAGATCACGGGGAACCAGTTTTTGTAGACAGAAATTTGTTGGACAGTTGAAAATAACTGGTCTAAAGTAATTTTTAGTGACAAAATAAAAGTGGTAATTGGAGAAGACAAAAAAATTTATGTGTGGAGAAATCTAATGAACATTTAATGGGAGAATGCACAGGAATGTTTAAGGACAGAGAGAAACTAGGTACAATTTCTGCTATGTTCTGGGGCTGTATCATCTATAATAATGGTGTCGGAACAATAATACTTATTAATGGAAACATGAATTCCAATATTTATATTGAAACTTTAGGTAGATATTTGTGGCCAGTTGTAACAAAAAACTTTGGAAACCATCCTTGGATATTTCAAGAAGATAATGCTCCTTGCCATATATCAAGACAACGTAATGCCTGAAAAGCAGACAATAATATTCCCATTTTACCTTGGCCTGCACAAAGCCCAGATAAGAACATAACAGAAAATGTAAGGAGAGTTTTGAAAATCTGCATCAAACACCGCATAGATGAAATTAACCACAAGTCAGATCTTGAAAGAGTAGTGACTGAAATCTGAGGCCTGTTCAACAGAGCGAATGTTCACGAGCGCTCGCGAACATTTCTGTTGGAGGGATAAGGAATTTTGACAAGCGCTCATGAACGTTAGCTCTGTTGAACACGCCTCTGGGCATCACTTCCTTTACATTATATAAAATGCCTGTATCAAAGTATTCCTAAGAAAATCAGATCCGTAATCAAAGCAAAAGGATATATAACGAAATTCTAGTAATTTAAGGTAAGTGCGTGTTGTTGTTTGCATGCTATGTAAGTTTACATTACAACAGGCTAGCCCAACATTTAATGGCAGCCATTACGGGAACTAAATTATGGCCAATTACTGTATATGTATGTGAGGGAAAGAAATAGAAATATGACTCCTGTACATGTTACCATTATGGGTTTAAGGCTCATTCTTGTTTGATTTTAACATATTTTGTCTCATTCTAGGTGATGATGAAAACATCCCCTTTCAACCAGTAAGTATCTCTAATGCTATAGGAATTCTATGCATAAATGAAAGATGACAGTGCAGTAAATTTTATTTAGTTTGATGTCTGAAAACTTATAATTAGGTCCCCATAGGAATTTGCAGCCGCCTTATAATAATCTAGCTGTCTCCATTTGTCTGTCCTTCCACAAATTTTCTGTTTTTTTCCTAAATACTTTTATATATATATATATACGAGGGGCATTTCAAAAGTTCTGGCAACTGGTATATAAAATTTTAACTACGTTATGGATTAAAATGACTGATACCACTGTAAAGCTTAGGCAAATATGCATTAATTTAGTAGTGACATCATTTTACATTCAAAATGACGTATAGGTTTGCTAAAATGACGTCATAATTAGTAATACTCCGTATACCGGGCATAAAATTGACTGATAAGGAGAACAATTTTTTTGTTGAGCAAAGAGCGTATTGCAAAATTCGCTCATTGCTTGGCTTTACGGTAACAGAAATAAAAGCCGATTTAGATGCAGTATAAAGAGAGCATGCTCTTTCATATCGAGCAATAGCAAGATGGGTAGTTCAATTTAAAGAGGGTAGAAAATCAATTGAAGATGACCCCCATTCGGGGCGTCCAGTTTGTGCATATGGCGAAAAAGAAATCGTTGCTGTTCAAAATATGATAGCTGATGATGCTAGAAATACAGTTGAGTAAATGGCAGACTTAAGTCAAGATCTCAGTAAATGAAAGGTGCCTACAGATTTCTCAAATTTGAGAAATAAATTCCTTTAATGATGCTTTATAACTTTAGCTTGGTCAAATAAGGTGTTTCGGGGCATTATTTGTAGATGAACAAGGTGAAAAATCATATTTTAAACTGTCATTTTCAATGAAAAATTAAGAAAACCAGACATGAATACGGGAGTTTTTTCCATATCAGACAAAGGAAATGTATCCAGATTGCCTACAGTCTCTTAGAAAACGATAATTTGTATGTTCTTGGCCTCTTCTTTAAAATAATATTAAATTGATTATAGGTATCGGGATTACTTTTCACATGATTTCAAATTTAATTCCATGAAAATATTTTATTTTCTACATAATTCTATTAGAGCCGTAAAGTACGGGAAAAATAAAGTAAAAATTGATTATGACGTCATAATGGATCTAGCACCAAAAATGTAGTCTAAAGTCATTTACTAGATCTTGACCTTAACTAACATTAATTCGTCAGCAGTTTTTCATATTTTAAAGGAAAACTTAAAGCTTAGGAAAGTCTGTGCTAGATGGGTGCTGCATCTTCTCTTGGAAGAGCAAAAGCACATCCGGGTAGAAATGGCTTCACAGTTACTAACAATTTAAGAAGATTGTGACCAAAGGTGAATAAATGAGATTGTAACTGGTGATGAAACATGGATATATTTTTTTGAACCGGAAACTAAGCTCAATAATAAAGTTTGGATCAGTGAAAATGATACAAGGCCTCAAATTGCACGCAGAAACCGGTATGTCCGGAGAGTAATATACGCCTTATTTTTTTATTCTAAAGGCCCTGTTGCTCAAGTTCCGGTTCCAGAACACAGCCGTGTTACTGGTCAATTTTTTGCAGAGAATATCTTGTCTCTGGTTGTAGAGCACTATAAAACGACCTGACCAACAACCAGTACTAGAGGAATAAAGTTCCTCCATGACAACGCACCTGCCCATAGATCAAAGGTAGTAACCAAATATTTAAAGGAAAATAGTATTGCCGTTTTACCACATCCACCCTACAGTCCCAACCCAGCTCCATGCGATTTTTGGTTGAATGCCGTTTTCAAGGAAGCCCTTCGAGGACGGCGATTTGAAAGTCGTCATGCAGTCGGAAGTGCCGTATTCCAGTGTATGAAGCATATACCGAAAGAGGACTATAGGGCAGCATTTTCCACATGGATTTCAAGACTGAAAAAGTGTGTCCAGGTCAACGGAGACTATTTTGAGGGATTGATATAATTTAATTTATGATAACGACGCTCATTAATTTACTGCACACCAGTTGCCAGAACTTTTGAAATGCCCCTCGTATATAAAGCACAAAGAAATTCACTTTTATCTTTTATTAGGAATTCACTTTTATCTTTATATTAGGATACCCACTAATCCGCCCCAACCCGGGGTTTAACTCTCGACCAGTAGAATCCGTCTCCTAGCAGTACAGCTTTATAAAGCATGTTTAAAACAACTCTTAAACTAACATAACTGCCCTAAGTGAAGAAATATTAATATTATAAACAGTGATTCATTTTGATGTGCGTCCTGCGTAAATTACGCACAAATTTTGCCCAGGACGCATTATTTCAATAAATGTGCATCCCAATGGACGCAATAAATTTATAGAAGGACGTACTATTTTAAATTATTTCGGTATAATCTGATTCAAAACTTGACTGATTACATCATATCCACGTGCTAAACGATATGCATGAACGATTTTAACAGGTAGGTCTACAAGGTTGCCAACAACTGGTCAGATTTCACAACTCAAGTTAAAAGCAATTGTCAGAAAATATTTGAAAGTTAGATAGCATAGTTCGATTATCACTGATTATGTCTATACAGTGGAACGTTTCTGAAGCGAATACTATACATTTGTACCTTCGTATTTAAGCTGTTACCTGTATCATTGTTTTTTTTTCTTTTCGTTTTTTCCTTACAAGCTAAGAAGTATAAAATTTAATCATTTTTATTTCTGACTATTTGTCATTTCTTCTTAATTTTTTTTTTTTTACCTCTTTCTGCTTCTGTGCATTTTATGACTGATACAATGTGTGAGATCGTATGTACGATCTAAAAATAGAACCAAAGAGCATAGTGGACAATATATTATTTTTATGACACAAAATCATGTACTCTTACTTGGACAATTGATAGTAAAAGTATAAATCACTCACAGCTACAATAAAACATTTGCACTTTCGTGCAATACACTTTTTTTTTATTTCACCAGAATTTCCTCTGTAACATCTAATATACGGTCCCCTTGGATTTGGACGCATTGATTTTGGCAGGGGACTCATTGTTGTCATTAAGAGGGGTCCTTTGGACCCATGATAACCATTTTCAAAATGAATCACTGTATAAATAATAGATATAAAAATAAAAGTGAATTTCTTTTTGCTTTCTATATTAATATTTCTTTACTTAGGGCAGTTGTGTTTTAAAATTAATTCAGTACAATGTGTATTGGTAATGATCCTCAAATAAAATCTAATGTCCAAATAACTGTATCTCACTTCCATTCTCAATGACCGTGTAATGTAGGACAGTGCTGTGAGAATTCCATTTGCATTGAAAGCAAGTTTTATGACTTGCCTAGATGGCCGAGTGGTCTAACGCGCTGTTCCTGTACTACTAGGAGACAGATTCAGTAAGTCGAGAATTCAACCCCGGGTTGGGGCAGAAGTGGATATCCTAATAAAAGTGAATTTCTTTCTGCTTTGTATATTAATATTTCTTCACTTAGACCAGTTATGTTAAAACATAGATAAAGGTTTTATTAAAATTATTGTGCTTGGGGCAAGTTTGGAACCTTAAAGGTTCTAAGATTTAGGGGGAAAATATTTCAAATATTTCTTTCATTAAAAAGAAGGTATAGCTACATGTAATAAGGAAACTTACTTAGTTTTTGGAAGTATCCTTCTTGATTGAAATTTATTCAGAGTGAATAATAGAAATTTAAAATATGTAGTTGTGTCAATGAAAGCAATTAAATTTCATAAGATTAAGATTACTTTTTATTTTATTCAGAAAACTGCAGTTTGGTGTGTATTGCACAAAGGCAGATGGATGTTTTTGCCATTCCAGTGCAGTGAGGAGTTAAATGATGCAGCTAAAAAGAGAAAGACGTTAGTAAAAATTGAAGGTGGTGTTACAAATAATGAACAATCTTACGAGTATGACTTGGGCAGAAAAAAGCGGAAATTAATCAAGCAGGATAGTCAACAGAAAAGTGAAGATATCATGTTCATAGAAGGTATCATCTCATATTTTTGATTTTGAGTTTTTGCATATATATCTCAACAATTTACATAACTATGATAACAATTTTAAGTAAAGAGATGATGTGCCCTTCCATGAGGAAATGCATGTAGTTCATTAGGACATATCGGTTAAATTGAGAGGGGGGTTAATCTATTCTTAACTACTGGGTAAACACAAACATAATTAATGTATGTAAAGGATTTATCAAATTCAGAAATATCTTTGAAAAAAAATCTTTGGACATCTAAGAAAGTCATGAAGTCACAGAAAGTGTGCAGAAAAGGAAGATAAATGTTATCAAGTAATAGGGACAACACTTGGGGGTCCAATGTAGTGGAACCAATGTAAAAGATTCTTAGAACAATATGGCTTTATTTAATTGTCTACTTATTTGACTTTTTTACAAGTAGATTGAATATGTGTTATTATGTGTTTCAGCTTAGTTTTAATATTGGTAAAGGGTTTGATTTTAGAACTATTTCTCATTTCAATCAAAATTATGCATATGAATGTTAGTGTCAGAGTATCAGCTGGGCCTCCTTTTCAATAGTCAGGCTTTTAAATTTGATTTACAACTAATTGTAGCAAAGAAAAAGGAAGACTTGGATGTTAAAGAAAAGGACAAGTCAAAACTAATGGTATTTTTTTTATTTAATTATTGAATGTATTTAATATAATAAATCATTTGAATTTACAATTGCCTGTGTATGTATAACTTTATAATTTTAAAATATGTAACTAATTTCATTGTGTATATTTGTCAGATAACTTTATTTGTTTATTGCTTTAACTTAGTACTTTATACACAAAATGACAAAATGGTAGGGTTTAGATTTATTAAGATGAACAATGAAAATATAATCTAAAGACAACATACACAGCAAAGTTACAGTACAACACAAATTCAATCAATAAAAATATTTACAAAACTTTGGCATCTTGGGGGCTTCTCTCTCTGAATCAAGAAAGCATTCTAAATAACCTGGGGGAGTCCAAGCAGGGTATTGGTTGGTATCCCAGAACCTGGGGGGGGGGGGGGGGGGGCAGCAAATTGCAAGTTTAATTACCTCGGGGAACCAGGTAGGCAATCATAGATATCAACTCAATGTAAATAATGGGTGCATGTACTTCATTCAACCTGGGGGGGAGCCCAACAGGTTACAATTTGTTAAGTTTCATTTGATGTATAAAAGCCTGGTAAGAGCACAGCAGGCATTATGTGTGTGAGTACACAAATTGTAATTTTAATGATTAAGCTTTGATAATCATGTTGCTTTATTTGATTTTTGGGGGTGAAAAATTCCAAATATGGGAATTTTAATGCCTGAATTAAATGATTTTAGCCTTGGTTAAATGAGTGAGAGTCCCCTAAGAAAATAAATGCCAAAGTGTTACATTGGATAAGTAACAAACATAGGTACAGATACACATGGAACTGGTAATAACTTTATACAAACTAAGATTTTTTTCCATAACACATCTTTAAGCACTCTTTCATCAGTTCTTATGTATTGAACATAACAATTTGACAACCAAGGCCCTAGAATCAGTCTATAAGATGGTCCTCTATACCAGCTTCAGCAGCAGAAATGGCAGCACCTATCCAAAAGGAATGACCACAATATTTAGTGTCATCTTAACCTAAAACTGCCATTAAATGTCTTATATAAGATATAAATTGATTTCTTGACAAAGGTGATCCATCAGTATCAACAAACAAAGGTGAATTTGTTTAAGCACCTCGTGAGATTCGTAATTGGCGGTAACATTGCATAACATCTACAGGTTTAGTATGTTCATTGTTAAAAACATGTATTGAGACACCTTGATAAAAATGGTCAGTTTTTATGCCCCCACCATAAAATGGCTGGGACATGTAGTGTTACCCTGTTCCATCATTCTGTCATTCCATAATCATTCACTTTCCGTTCATTATCTCTGCAAAAATTGCACACATCCAACTCAAATTTGACTATGGATAAGTCTTAGGAATACATGTGGGTCAAGTTCGAATTTGGTCATCGTCCGATTATTTTTGACAGAGTTATCCCACATGAACTTAAGTTTGTTTTGTTTGTTTGTTGTTTAACATCCCTCTCAAGAATTTTTCACTCATATGGAGACGCCACCACTTGCCGGTGGAGGGCTACAAATTTTTACCTATACTCGGCACTCAGGGCCATTGAGCAGTGAGGGATCTTTTTCATGCCAGCACCTACTGCGACACAGGACCTCGGTTTATACGGTCTCATCCGAAGGACCAGGCTACACCTCCCGCAGTGGGATTCGAACCCGCGATGTAAGGATCACCTCCTTACTCTAGGGCAGATGCTCTAACCACTGCGCCACGTGGGCGACCACTTGAACTTTAGAAAAAATAAGAAATTTTCAGTTTCCACTCTCTAAATTTTGTAGGGATGTATGAATAAGGTTGAAATTGCATATGCAGGTATTTTACCAGAATATACAGGTCAAGTTCGAGTTGGGTCAAGTTCTAATGATTTTTTACAGAGTTATCCCTCTTGAACTTAGAAAAATAGAAAATTTTAAGTTTCCACTCTCTAAATTTTGTAGGGATGTATGTTTAAGGTTGAAATTGCATATTCAGGTATTTTACCAGAAAATACAGATCAAATTCGAATTTGGTCATGCTCTGATGATTTTTGACAGAGTTATCCCTCTTGAAATTAGAAAAAAATCAGAAATTTTCATTTTCCACCCTCTAACTTTTATAGGGATTTATGTTTAAGGTTGAAATTGCATATTCAGGTATTTTACCAGAAAATACAGGTCAAGTTCGAATTTGGTCATGGTCCAATGATTTTTGAGTTATCCCTCGTGAACTTTGAAAAAATAAGAAATTTTTAGTTTCCGCTCTCTAACTTTTGTAATGATGTACGTATAAGGAGTAATTGTCAAATGATGATGAAGTTCTCAAACTGTTGTGGAAAATGATATTAAATATGATACAAATGAACAGCCAGGACATACAACATGACACAAAAAATTGAAGTGACCCAATAGACTAAGTAATTGTTGTTTGGTATATGTCTTTTTTTTTCCAGAAATGAAACTAGTGTCTCAAGTATTCTCTGCAGTTTGTCATGAAGTCTTGCTTCCATCTTATTACTATCTAACACTATACCTTAATATTTTAAGCACTGTGAAGGGCCAAAATTTTTGTGAACAGCTACAGGTATTCCCAGCATTTGAAACAAGGTTGTTAATGTTTTCATGGTAATTTCTGCTAGAAACTCTGGAGGGTCTACTGTCAGGAAGTCATCAAGGAGATGTAGGATATAGTTAATGCCATATTTATTTTGTGCAATCCAACAAAGAATTGTAGAAAGTGTGTCAAATACCAGTCTTGTAAAGGAGTAGTATTGATTATCCCATTTTATGCCATGAAATTGCTAAAGGGTATGGTGTATTGGTATGAGTTTAAAAGCATCTGAAATGTCTACTTTACACATCCAACTGTTTTTGCCAGCTTTCTAATTAAGTCTATGGCATGCTCAATTGCTACATATGACAAGGAAAATTCAGTTTCGTCAAAGAGAGTTAAGATGCGTGATGATCTTCATTGTGTGGAGCAGATAAATCATCGAATATTCCCCTTCTGCAACTCCTATTGGGTTTACTCTATATATGTTAAAAGGCATTGATAAGTATGAACCTGAAATGAAACCCTTTTCAAGCTCTGTTTGGATTAATTGGGAAGTAATGTCAGGTTGATTTCAAGTTGACAACAAATTTTTGCATTCATAAGTTTCTGTGGGTAATGTTTTAAATCCTGTGTCAAGCTATTCAATAAATAATCCACAGTATGTTTTTCTGGGTGGTTAAGAAGGAGTTTCTCAAAAAATTCTATGTCAACTGGAGTTGAAATGGTTATACTATTCACTGGTTTCACACGTTGGTGACACTTTCCCACAGGGGCTACTTTGTTTTTAGCTCACCTGAGCTGAAAGCTCAAGTGAGCTTTTCTGATCACCTGTTGTCCGGCGTCCATCCGTCTGTCTGTCCGTCTGTCTGTCTGTCTGTGCGTCTGTAAACTTTTCACATTTTCAACTTCTTCTCAAGAACCATTGAGCCAATTTTAACCAAAGTTGGTACAGAGCATCCTTAGGTGAAGGGGAGTTTAAATTGTTAAAATGAAGGGCCAACCCCCTTACAAGGGGAGATAATCAAGGAAAGATAAAAATTGGGTGGGGTCATTAAAAAATCTTCTTCTCAAGAACAACTGGGCCAGAAAAATTGAAACTTATGTGGAAGCATCCTTGGGTAGTGTAGATTCTGAATTGTTCAAATCATGGCCCCTGGGGGTAGGGCGGGGCCACAATAGGGAATCAAAGTTTTACATTGAAATATATAGGCAAAATCTTTGAAAATCTTCTTCTCAAGAACCACTGAGCCAGAAAAGCTGAAACTTATGTGGAAGCATCCTTGGGTAGTGTAGATTTTAAATTGTTCAAAGCATGGCCCCTTGGGGTAGGGCGGGGCCACAATAGGGAATCAAAGTTTTACATTGAGATATGTAGGCAAAATCTTTAAAAATCTTCTTCTCAAGAACCACTGAGCAAGAAAAGCTGAAACTTATGTGGAAGCATCCTTGGGTAGTGTAGATTCTAAATTCTTCAATTCATGGCCCCCGGGGGTAGGGCATGGCCGCAATAAATATTACAAAGGGGAGGTCTTGTGAAGAACAGCAGGGCCAAAGTAGCTCAGGTGAGCGCTGTGGCCCATGGGCCTCTTGTTTGAATTGCACAGAGATTGTGGATTCCCTGCTTGTTTGCAAGATTTGCATACATGCAAGTTAATTGTTTCATCTTTTGTGATTGCATCCCATGTCATTGTAATTGATACATATTTCTAAACCATCTTTGTTTCTGCCATAGCTATCATAAACACTCATGTTTGAATATTGATGATAAGTCTGTGAGAAGTGGTATGGCTTGGTACCTGTCTCTAGGTTTTGATGGCAGAAAGGAGCAGTATGACTGACATTGCTTCAGAGATGCAAGTGATTGACTTTTCTTTAGCAAAGATATTGCAGAAAAAAGTGTTATTACGGACTGACCAGTCAATTGGTATGTTCTGTTACTTAAGGTAAGCAGCTGCCCTAGCACTGAACTGTTTAATGATATTCATAAAATGCAGAGCATTGGTATCAGCTGGCCATGTCTATAATGTCAGGCTCATACAAGTCTTGCTCTTGCCTGGGACTAGGGAAAGCTTCACACATTAATTGTGCTTTTGTAGATACCAAGTTCCTGGATAAACTCTGTTATAGTTAAAGTCTTATTCAATATAGGGTCTTTTTCTCCTTGTCAACTTTGTCTACTTCGGGCCTAGTGTAGTAAAGTATCAGAATGGTAGCAAGGTTGACATCCTTACCTTCAGTAATTTGCTTCCACAGATTTGGTGATATGGTTTCTACGTATGGTAATGATTCAGCAGATTATCCGTAGGTGTTTCTGACTCCCAGTGTTTTTGTAGAAGTTTGGTCAGCCCATGCTGTTGACAGAGTGTAATTCTCCATTTCTATCCTCTCCCAAGGAGTTCCGCATACCACGGGAGTAGCATCAGCTCAAGCTTTCAAATTTTAAACCCCTGACTGATGTTGTTCCGCGATCCC